CCCAGAGCCTGGAATTACACCATTGTACCATCTGGTAATGCAGGGTCCAGCCCTATAGGGTCCTGTGAGCCCCTCTCTACAGGTGTGGAGACAAGGAACTGTAGAAATAAAAGACACAAGACACCGAGAAAGATAAAACAGTTTGGGCCCAAGGGTCCACTGCCAAACAAAGCGTGGAGTCCGGCAGTGGCCCCGAGTGCCTGGACACTCTGACTTTTATTGAATACAAAGCAGTGGGCAGGGTGGGTACGGTGAGGTAATGGTGGTCAGTGATAGGGTCAAGTAAATCATGTGTCTTGGAAATAGGGCCCCAGGTCTTTCAAGTAGCTGAGGTGAGGAGAAAACCTAATGCGTCAGCACTTTTTCATACTTGTCAAGAAAGAACAAAGACATTAAGATTTATGTTACTGCCAGATGCGGTGGCTCACGCCTGTAGTCCCAGCACTACAGGGAGGCTGAGGCGGGCAGATCATGAGGTCAAGAGATCGAGGCCATCCTGACCAACATGGTGAAACCCCATCTCTACTAAAACTGTAAAAAATTAGCCAGGTGTGGTGGCATGCATCTGTGGTCCCAGCTACTGGGGAGGCTGAGGCGGAAGAATTGCTTGAACCCAGGAGGCAGAGGTTGCAGTGAGCTGAGATTGCACCACTGCACTCCAGCCTGGCAACAGAGCAAGTCTCTGTCTAAAAAAAAAAAAAAACATTTATGTTACTATTACCGATTTTATCTTTTAAGAAAAGGAGAGACCGGGTACAGAAGCAGAACATGAAGGTAGACATGGGACGTGACCACTGAAGCGCAGCATCACATAGAGACAATTAAGCACCCCGGACGTCTGTGAGTTTCCCTGACAGCCGTCAGGCCTACCACAAGAGCTTGGAGAAGTGGAGTTTTCTCCTAACTCCCCCGAGGAAGGGGAAGTCTTAGACGTCTTGGACGTCTCCTTCCCTAGCTGGCTAAACAGTGGGCGCTTTCCCAGTGCTGGTGCTGCCCCACAGCCGAGGTGCCCTCCAGCAGCCTTTATGCAGGTGTGGCAGAGGGCTTAGAGCATTTTGCCTTAGGATCACTTTGTTCACAATGTCACCTCAGTTCCATGCTCCATAACCCGATAATCAATAGATTAAAAGGTTACCTTGAGGCCGGGCACGGTGGCTCAAGCCTGTAATCCCAGCACTTTGGGAGGCCGAGGCGGGTGGATCACGAGGTCGAGAGATCGAGACCGTCCTGGTCAACATGGTGAAACCCCGTCTCTACTAAAAATACAAAAAATTAGCTGGGCATGGTGGCGCGTGCCTGTAATCCCAGCTACTCAGGAGGCTGAGGCAGGAGAATTGCTTGAACCCAGGAGGCGGAGGTTGCGGTGAGCCGAGATCACGCCATTGCACTCCAGCCTGTGTAACAAGAGGGAAACTCTGTCTCAAAAAAAAAAAAAAAAAAAAAAAAAAAAAAAAAGTTACCTTGAGTATATATATTTCTGTGATTACATATGATTAACTGTGATTATGCATGATTTTATATATAGGAATAACTATGTAACTATATCTCGAATTCTTTTTTAGTTCTGTATTCATATGGGAACAGGCTGAGACTTCAGACCCTTGCTCGTCACTTGCGGGATCTCCCACGGGGTCTCCCACTGACAGGTAACACTTTCCCAACTCTCCCTTTGATCTGTGCATTTATGCGGCTTTTCCCTTTGTGGTCTGTCCATCTTCTCTGGCATCTCTCTCTCTTTTTGACCTGTTGTGCAAGAAATCCCCAGGACCTCAGGGATCCAATTTCTCTCTCTCTTTTTTTTTTTTTTTTTGAGACGGAGTTTCGCTCTTGTTACCCAGGCTGGAGTGCAATGGCGCGATCTCAGCTCACCGCAACCTCAGCCTCCTGGGTTCAGGCAATTCTCCTGCCTCAGCCTCCTGAGTAGCTGGGATTACAGGCATGCACCACCATGCCCAGCTAATTTTTTGTATTTTTACTAGAGACGGGGTTTCACCATGATGACCAGGATGGTCTCGATCTCTTGACCTCGTGATCCACCCGCCTCGGCCTCCCAAAGTGCTGGGATTACAGGCTTGAGCCACCGCGCCCGGCCAGGGATCCAATTTCATTAGCTATTCCCTAAAGAGACAGCGCCTCTGTCTCTTTCTTCTGTGTGCAGACAAGCTCCTTGTTCTATGTCTAGGATGGAGATGGTGGAGGCAGGGTTGGCAACAGTGGAGATAAGAGGGAAAAGGGGGATTTAGGCCCAGAGAAGGAAGGGTTTATCAGGGATGGAGACCAGGGAATTGGAGGCAAACCTAGACTCCCCTCTGGTGGCAAGGGGAGGATGTGCAGGTGCACCAATGAGGACCAGGAGACAGATGCGAGTTATTCTCTGCAGGATTTACCAAAACCCACAGACATATAGTTTTTGGGTTGTTTTTTTGTTTTGTTTTGTTTTTTGTTTAGATAGAGTCTCCCTCTATCATCCAGGCTAGAATCCAGGGACACAATTGGCTCTCTGCAACCTCAACCTCCCGGATTCGAGTGATTCTCCTGCCTCAGTCTCCCAAGTAACTGGGATTACAGGAGCGTGCCACTACGCCCGGCTAATTTTTTATTTTCAGTAGAGACAGGGCTTCACCATGTTGGTCAGGCTGGTCTCAAACTCCTGACATCAAATGACCCACCTGCCTTGTCCTCCTAATGTGCTGGGATTATAGGTGTGAGCCAGCATGCCTAGCAACAGACATACAGTTTTTTTTTTTTGTTTGTTTTGTTTTTTTTTTTTTGAGACGGAGTTTCGCTCTTGTTACCCAGGCTGGAGTGCAATGGCGCGATCTCGGCTCACCGCAACCTCCGCCTCCTGGGTTCAGGCAATTCTCCTGCCTCAGCCTCCAGAGTAGCTGGGATTACAGGCACGCACCACCATGCCCAGCTAATTTTTTGCACCTTTAGTAGAGACGGGGTTTCACCATGTTGACTAGGATGGTCTCGATCTCTTGACCTCGTGATCCACCCGCCTCGGCCTCCCAAAGTGCTGGGATTACAGGCTTGAGCCACCGCGCCTGGCCAGACATATAGTTTTAAACAAGAGAGGGGACCTGCAGATGTGTATGGCGGTGGCTTAGACACTAGGCTTTGGGTCAGAGGCCATATAAGACAAGCGGAACACCTGCCAGAGACCTGCCAGTGAGAGAAGGACTATGTTTGGTGAACCAAAACCTTCTTCCAGGCTGGGCAGGTTGGCTCACACCTGTAATCCTAGCACTTTGAGAGGCCGAAGCAAGAGAATCACTTGAGCCCAGGCAACATAGTGAGACCCCATCTCTATAAAAAATAAACTAGCCAGGCATGGTGGCTCATTCGTATAATCCCAGCATTTTGGGAGGCCGAGGCAGGCGGATCACCTGAGGTTGGGAATTCAAGACCAGCCTGACAAACATGGAGAAACCCTGTCTCTACTAAAAATACAAAATTAACTGGGTATTGTGGCGCAAGCCTATAATCCCAGCTACTTGGGAGGCTGAGGCAGGAGAATCTCTTGAAACTGGGAGCTGGCTGGGTGTGGTGGCATATGCCTGTAGGCACAGCTACTTGGGAGGCTGAGGTGGGAGGATCACTTGAGCCCAGGAGTTCGGGGCTGTAGTGCACTATGCCGATTGGATGTCTGCACTAAGTTTGGCATCAATATGGTGACCTCCTAGGAGCGGGGGGCCACCAGGTTGCCTAAGAAGGGGTGAACCGGCCCAGGCCGGAAACAGAGCAGGTCAAAACTCCCGTGCTGATCAGTAGTGGGATCGCGCCTGTGAATAGCCACTGCACTACAGCCTGGGCAACATAGCGAGACCCTGTCTCTAAGAAAAAAAAAAAAAGAAACTGGGAGATGGAGGTTGCAGTGAGCCAAGATCATGCCACTGCACTCCAGCCTGGGCAAGAAGAGCGAAACTCCGTATCAAAAAAAAGAAAAGAAGAACCACATATCCCTTTTGCATTGGTCGATTGGAAATCAATCTGTTATTCAGTGCAGGAGCTGCCTCAGAATGCCACGTAGAGGTAAAGTCCACCTCTGCAGCGAGATTGCCTAAGTTGGAATCTCTGCTCTGCCAGTTACTTTTTGCCAGTAACTTTTAGGGTCTTGATCTGTTGCCCATGCTGGAGTGCAGTGGTGCAATCACGGTTCACTGTAGCCTCCAACTCCTAAGCTCAAGTGATTCTCCTGCCTCAGCCTCCCAAATAGTTGGGACTGCAGGCGGGGTCCACCAAACCCAACTAATTTTTTTCTTAAGAGATGGGATCTGGCTATGTTGCCCAGGCTTGTCTCAAACTCCTGACCTCAAGCAATCCTCCTTCTGCAGCCTCCCAAAGCTCTGGGATTACAGGCATGAGCCACCTCACCCAGCCACCAATTACTATTTATGTCATCTCTGATGACTTAAGGTGAAGTCACTTAACCGCTCATCACTTCAGCTTTTTCTTATTTGTGAAAAGGGATAATAGGCCGGGTGTGGTGGCTCAATGCGGATGGATCAGCTGAGGTCAGGAGTTCAAGACCAGCCTGGCCAACGTGGCAAAACCTGGTCTCCACTAAAAAAAAAAAAAAAAAAAAAATGCTGAGGCAGGAGAATCACTTGAACCCAGGAGGCGGATGCCTGGGAAATGACCTGCAGCCTGGCCATGCCAGACAGCATCCACCCAGGCCTGCTCATTGTCCACAACGAGGCGGACTTGCTCCTTTCCTTCATCTGTCCCATCTGAGTGCCCCTGGGGGTCCAAAGGCCTTTGTGGATGCCTGTGACTCCCAAGAGCGAGACTCAGAAAAAAAGAAAGAAAAAAAAAAAGGAAGGAAGGAAGGAAGGACGATTCTTCTGAGAACCAAAAAAAAAAAAAAAAAGAAAAAAGAAAAAGAAAGAAAGAAAGGCAGGCAATTGGCTAAAGTGTGCCCCTTGCTGAAGTTGGCAAGTACCATGTTTGCACAATTATCACTGTCAGTACTTCACATTTACACTAGGATACTATGATTTTCAATGCAGTCTCCATTTTTATTTTGGAGGCCCCTCGGAGGAATCCTCTCCCATTTTACTGAGGCCCAGGAAGGATGCACAGGGGCTGAGCCCGTCCTTTGATCTTAGTTTGGCTGCAGAGACAGGCAGTGTCTCTGACGACGTGATGGCAGTGTCAAGTGCACTCTGTCCTTACTAGAAACCTGGCCTCTTGGAAGGGCTGGAAGCTACCACCCTTGACTGCTCTGACTGGCCGACCACAGTACTCTGTCTCCAGCAGCTCCTCGCTGACGGGCTTCCCCGTCAAGAAGCCACTCTCTCTCCGGGCTGATCAGTGCAGAGAGGGCTTCTCGTCTCCGACCACTGGCTCCTGCTGGCTGTTCCCTTCACCCTCAGTCTCGGGCTGCGAGGCTTCCCTGAGCACTCGAAAGGGGGGCCCGTGACCAGGTACGACCACGTCGGCAGCGACCAGGACCCTCTTCCGGCTCCGCTCCTGGGCTGCGGGGTCTTCACTCAGCGCCTGCCACGAATCCTCGTCCCCATCTCGCTCAAACACATCCCCCGCCACCACCACGGTGCCCAGAGCCGTGCCAGCCACCACCACGCTCACGTCGCGATGGCCCCCGTGGCCCGGCGTGGCCCACACCTCGAGCCCCGGGCCCAGGCGCAAGGGCCGCCCCTCACCCAGTCCGTGGGGCAGGTAGCGGCCTCCAGGGAGGCAGAAGTCGTGCGAGACCAGCAGAGCCGCGCCTGGGAACAGCCCCAAGTTCCCGATGTGATCCGAGTGCCCGTGGGTCCCCACTACCAGCGTCACGTCTTCCGGGGCCACGCCCTGCCCCGCCAGCGCCCCCAGTAGCGCCTCCCGAGCCCAGGGGCCCCCAGTGTCCACCAGGATGGGGCCACGGGCCGCCTCCTCCAGGGCGGCCTCCGCGCCGCCACCCTCGCGCGGGGACTCTCCGTGGCTGGATGCCGAACCCCAGGTCTGGGGCAGGACAAGGGTCACGGAGCCGTCGGCGCGCACGGCGTCGTCCACCCCCTCCGGCTCCGCGTAGCCCTGCAGCAGAACCACCACGGAGTAGGGGTCGCCGGGCACCAGCAGAGGGGACGCCCCGCGCAGCGGCTCGGTCCGCATGAGGCTGCTTCTGGCAGGGAGGGACGGGCTGAGGAGAAAGGAAATGGAGCAGTGGGCGACCGTGCTGTCCCTCCGCTGTCCTCCATCCGTGCCCGGCCGGGCCCCTAACCACTGCCTCTAAGCCTTGGTTCTCATTAAGTTGGTATCACCCTCGACCCCTGCCCAAGATGGTATCACCCAGCCTCCCTTCCCACGAGGGCCCTCCCCTCCCTTGGCGTTCGCGGCCCCCGCCCCGTTCCTCTCGCGGTAGGTCCTCTCCCGTCACCCCCCAAAAGGCTATCCTTTGTATTTCCCTTACTCGAACCCCAGCCGCGCTCTACGTTGGACCTCTCCGAGTCTTGCCTCGCTCGAAGAAAGCGAAAACGCCTGTGGGAGTTTGTCTTCTGCGCGCTTCCGTGAGCCCAGCTATGGCGGCCGAAGTGGCGCCGCGGCGTTGGCTGTAGTTCCGGCGCCTTCTTCACTGTATGCCGGAGGAGGCTGCCTGGACTCCAGCCGCCTGTCGGTTCCTCGCCCCGCGACCCCAGCAGCTTCCTTGGGCTCACAATTATGAATCGCCATTAGCTCTGAGGTAGAGTCTCGCTTTGTTGCCCAGGCTGGAGTGCAGTGGCGCAATCAGAACTCACTGCAGCTTCGACCTCCTGGGCTCATGTGATCCTCCCGCCTCAGCCTCCTAAGTAGCTGGGACCACAAGCGCGCACCACCAAGCCCAGCTAAGCTTTATATTCTCTTTTTTCTTCTTCCTTCCTTTTTCTTTCTTCTCTCTCTCTCTCTTTTTTGTAGAGACTGTTGCCGGGACTGGTCTGAAACTCCTGGGTTCCAACGATTCTCCAGCCTTGGTCTCCCAAAGTGCTGGGATTACATATGTGAGCCACTGCTTCTGGTATTTTTTTTCTTTTGGGACAGTCTTGCCCAGTCCCCCAGGCTGGAGTACAGGGGCGCCATCATAGCTTGCCCCTGCCTTGAACCCCTGAGTTCAAGCAGTCCTCCCATTTCGGTTTCCCGAAGTACTGGGAATACAGACATGCATGCCCTTCTAGTTTTGTTTTGTTTTTTGGAGACAGGAGTCTTGCTCTTGTCGCCTAGGCTATAGTGCAATGGCGCGATCTCAGCTTACCGCAACCTTCACCTCCCAGGTTCAAGTGATTCTCCTGCCTCAGCCTCACAAGTAGCTGGGATTACAGGTGCATGCACCACCACGCCCGGCTTTTTAATTTTTTGTATTCTTAGTAGAGAAGGGTTTCATGTTGGTCGGCTCCTCTTGAACTCCCAACCTCAGGTGATCCGCTCGCTTCGGCCTCCCAAAGTGCTGGGATTACAGGCACGAGCCACTGCGCCTGCAGCTTTTTTTTGGGGTTGTGTGTGTGCGTATGCGTGTGGGTGTGCATATTTATAGAGATGGGGTTTCACTTTGTTGCCCAGGCTGGAGCTTGAGCTTAACAAGACAGTGGCCATTCTGGGTGCTGCCTCATCGACCAGCTAGCTATAATGTGTGCCCTGCTGTTGTTTGAAACTTTGGGTCCAGGTAGTTTTTAGAAAAAAAAAAAAAAAATTTAATAGCGATATAGAAAATTTAGCACCTATGAAACTATATGGTAGGCTCTCAGTGACACTGATCTGAAGTAGACCAAGTATCTACCCCACCTAACTTATCAGCAACTCCAGGCCATCACCCAGTGTCCCATTTCTCCTTCACGGTTTGCTGGTGTGTAGCCTCCTGGATACAGGCAATATATATAGTTTGTAGAGAATGTCCGTTCTGGCCTCTTCCTTGGAAGGGTCTAAAAACAGACCTTATGGAGGTAAGTGACTTTCCTAAAGCCCACAGCTCCAGTGCTACTGGTGACCTCTGGGTTGGGGTGGGGAGCAGTTAAAGGGAAAAGCTTTCAGTACTGTCAGCACACACACCTGCCAATTAAGGGGCTGGATGGAGTTCATCTATAAGTGCAGGACCTCCACCCCCACCCTCCATCCCGGCAAGCCATGGCATGCTGCTTCACCAGGATCTTGCCTGAGGTTAGACTGGAGAAAACGGCTACAAGCTTGGTTGGAGTCACTCACAAACATACCCTGAAAACTGTGAGCTGGGAGAGCGCAGACTTCAGAGGGCTCTCTGTGATCCCTTCCCTTCCTGGGGGCTCAAAGGCAAGGGTCAAAGTTCTTCTCGGTCACGTTTGGGGTGGCCTCCTGTCTTGGTCATCTTGTCTCCCCCTTCCTCTTCCTCCTCTTCTTCCTCCTTTTCCTCTTCTTCCCCTTCTGTTTTCTCTTCCTCATCTGTGATCTCCTTTCCAGTCCATGTTTCCTGTAGACATGCTAGATTGGATGAGGGAAAACAACTTAGGTATTAGTCCTGGAGGCAGGGGAGGCTGCGGCTTGGCAGGAGAGGAGCTCAACCCCCACGCTTACCAGTTTCAGCAGCTGGGAGCACATGACCTTCACAGAGAAAATTTTGTAGGGGCTGCTCCTGATGGCGGAAGTACCAGTCTCCCACAACATCTTCAAACTCCTCCAGCATGGTCTCACACTGGGCAAGTAGAAGGGCCAGAAGAGAATCTGCTCTGGACGGATTTGGAATCTCTCCTGTCTGCTCTCCATTCCCTGTTCTAGCTGCTCAACCTGACTGATTTTGGAGAGGCAGGTAGTCAGGATGCTAAGCTTGGCCAACTGGATATGTGATCCTCAATCATTCAACAAACATTTAGCAGCACCTACTCTGCCAAGTAGGTTATTAAACTCTTGAGTTTCAGCTCCTTGCCTGTACTATATGTATGGTAATTGCACCTACCACCTCAGGTTGTTGTGAAGGTAAAATGAGGCAGCAGATGCAAAGTATGTGGTCCAGAGTCTGGGACACAGTAAGTGCTCAATAAGTGATTGTGGATACTATTAGCAACCATGACAACTTCTAAAACTTTCCTTAAATTTTAAAATTATTATTATTTTTTATAGAGAAGGGTCTCTTGTTGCACAGGCTGATCTCGAACTCTGGCCTCAAGCAATCCTTCTACCTCAGACTCGCAAAGTGCTAGCATTACAGCTGTGTGTCATCACATTGGGCTCATTATGATTTCTTTTTTCACCCAGGCTGGAGTGCAGTGGTGCGATCTTGGCTAACTGCAACCTCCACTTCCCTGGGTTCAAGCAATTCTGCCTCAGCCTCCCTAGTAGTTGGGATTACAGGCACACACCAGCATGCCTGGCTAGTTTTTTTTTTTTTTTTTTTTTTTTTTTTGAGACGGAGTTTTCGCTCTTGTTACCCAGGCTGGAGTGCAATGGCGTGATCTCGGCTCACCGCAACCTCCGCCTCCTGGGTTCAGGCAATTCTCCTGCCTCAGCCTCCTGAGTAGCTGGGATTACAGGCACGTGCCACCATGCCCAGCTAATTTTTTGTATTTTTAGTAGAGACGGGGTTTCACCATGTTGACCAGGATGGTCTCGATCTCTCGACCTCGTGATCCACCCGCCTCGGCCTCCCAAAGTGCTGGGATTACAAGCTTGAGCCACCGCGCCCGGCCTAGTTTTTTTTTTTTTGAGACGGAGTTTCGCTCTTGTTACCCAGGCTGGAGTGCAATGGCGCGATCTCGGCTCACCGCAACCTCTGCCTCCTGGGCTCAGGTAATTCTCCTGCCTCAGCCTCCTAAGTAGCTGGGATTACAGGCATGCACCACCACGCCCAGCTAGTTTTTTGTATTTTTAGTAGAGACGGGGTTTCACCATGTTGACCAGGATGGTCTCGATCTTTCGACCTCGTGATCCACCCGCCTCGGCCTCCCAAAGTGCTGGGATTACAGGCTTGAGCCACCGCGCCCGGCCGCCTGGCTAATTTTTGTATTTTTTGTAGATACGGGGTTTCGCCATGTTGGCCAGGGTGGTCTCAACTTTCTGACCTCAGGTGATTCACCCGCCTCAGCCTCCCAAATTGCTGGGATTACAGGTGTAAGCCACCATGTCCGGTCGCTCCTGGAACCACTTTAATCAATGGCACAGTCCTCACTCTCCCCGCTTCCCCCTGCTCAGAGGTAGACATCTCCTACAGTCAAACCCTAACCTAGCTCCCCTCTCAGGTTCCCTTCTCACCTCCCTGGATGGTGCAGTATCTTATCCTACCTGCTTCTTGAGGTATGTGACCTCCACACTGGGCTCGTCCCACAGCTCCAAAGGGATTCCCAGATCCACCTTCACTCCCTTCTGCACTAGGCCTTTCAGCGTTGCCATGGTCTGACTCTGACCCTGAGAAATTAAGAATTTGGTATCAGCCCAGCCCACCACCCCAATCCTCCCTTCCCCTTTTTGCCATTTCAGTTTTGTCAACTGCTGGAGATTAAGGGGTGAGTTCCATGATGGTGAGATGATGGGCAGATAACCTCTGGAGGACCTCAGGGAATACAGATATTTGTTTCTGAGAAGTGGAGTCCTGCCCTGGGGAAGGGTCTGACCTTGGCATATCTCAGTGAGCCCTTGCGCTCAGCGTGAACACTGTAGTCCAGGATCCGCTCGCATAAATTCTCCAAGGCCTCTTCTAGCCTTGTTTCTCTGTGGAAAGAGGGCAAACAAAGATTCCTTGGATGCCTTAGGGACTCCCAGGGCTCCTTTGGGGGTTGGAAGGTGGAGAAGCATGGAGGAGGACTCACGACACGCTGTAAGGCACATGTTTCTTCCTCTTGCCTGTGTCGAGCACCTGCCCCAGCTCCAGCACCTCTCGAGATTGGCCAGTTCGACTCAGCTCCGCCTGTAGCTCTGTGCTCAGCAGCTTACACACTGGCAGGGAAGAGAAACATCCGGGGGAGGTGAAAGACAGACAAACGCATCAGCCATTCATTCGGCAGATGACCTGAGGCAGCAGAGGCAGCAGAACATTCAAGTGCAGACTTGAGCCAGACTGGTTGGGTTGGAATCCTGGCTCAGCCATTTAGCAGCTGTGTGACAACCTTGCTACTTGCTGTGCCTCTATTTCTTCATCTCTAAAATGGGATCATAGGTAAGGCATGTGGCTCATGCCTGTAATCCCAGCGCTTTGGGAGGCTGAGGTAGGTGGATCACTTGAGGAGTTCAAGACCAGCCTGGCCAACATGGTGAAACCCCATCTCTACTAAAAATACAAAAACTAGCCAGGTGTGGTGGTGCACACCTGTAATCCCAGCTACTTGGGAGACTTGAGGCAGGAGAATCACTTGAACCCAGCAGGCAGAGGTTGCAGTGAGCTGAGATCCTGCCACTGCACTGCAGCCTGGGCAATATGTTAAAAATAAATAAATAAAATTGGATAATAACAGTATATCCCTCATAGGGGTGTGATGAGGATTAAATAAATCAACATATATAGGCCAGGCGTGGTAGCTCACGCCTGTAATCCCAGAACTTTGGGAGGCCAAGGTGGGCAGATCATTTGAGGTCAGGAGTTTGAGACCTACCTGGGCAACATGGTAAAATCCCATCTCTACTAAAAATATAAAAATTAGCCAAGTGTGAGGGAAGGCGCCTGTAATCCCAGCTACTTGGGAGGCTGAGGCAGGAGAATCACTTGGACTCAGGAGGTTGCAATGAGCTGAGATTTTGCCACTGCATTCCAGCCTGGGTAACAGCGTAAGACTCTGTCTCAAGAATAAAATACTGGGCACG